ACAGACATAGTGAAACTCTGGGAGGTTCCAACTTTATGATCCAGGACAGATCTATACACAAAAACAGGATTCTCCACATTTCACCAGGAAATTCTGCACAATCACAAGAAGCTGTTGCATCCCAAAAATACAGGATGAGACTGTGAGATATTCTCTTTTTTTCTCAATACTGCTACAAATGTGACAGTACAGTCAGCAGCCGGTTAAAACAATATGGGACGCGAACCGGCAACCTTCTAGCTGCGAGGCAACGGTGCTAACCAACTGCACCACCTTGTAGCCCCTCAGTCGAAACATGTCAAAGTAAAAACAGCTCCTACTTAAAAATACTCATAGTCTGATAAAAAAGAAAAGAAAACCGTTTGTCTATTATCAGAGTAGACAAAATGAACCTCATCACGCTGGTTCCTAACATATGGATGAACACGAACTGAAAGGAGACCAAGAAAAGACTGGATACCAGAAGGCCCAACGCCAGGTTCAGTAGGATCTCAGATTTATCTGCATTTCACATTAACAGAACAGTGTCACACTGACACTGCTCGTGATTACACATTATACAGAGCACCGTGGACTCTGTATGATTTCAAAATACTTGCAGTGTTTCAAGTTAAAACTCAAAGATCGAGCTCGCAGAACCGTTTCCCCCTCAGGGTCCGACACCCTGCAGCCAGGCCCGGGCAGCTGTGGTGGGTTTGAGTGTAAATGAGATTAGGGAAATGAAATTAAGAGCAGCAAAAGTGCCGTTCCTCAGGGATGCAGGAGGCTAATGAAGTAGGAGGCAGCTCTCTGGATGCGGCTTTAATTCTGTCAAGCCCGGTTCAGTCCCCAGTCCTGCTCCGAACAGATTGGATTAAAAGATCCGGCGGCTGTGAGTCATGTTGTCTGGATGAGAAGAAACAAGTTTCACATCAACCGCACGTGATGATGAAGGGATTAAAGAATAGTGTTTATCGTGCCACAGTGATTGATGAACTGTGTTCTCTGTGTTCGTTCTGCTCTGCGGTTTGGAACCAGACGAGCAGCAGCTCACACCCAAACCTCACAGCAGCCTTTTGATCTGCGTGTTCAGAAAGCTGCTCTTTTAGTCAAACACAACATATGGAATATCAGCTTCAGCTTCCACTTTGCTGATTGATAGAGGGGCCGAAAGAAGGCGCGTGTTTTACTGCCAAATCATTAGTTATTGTTTGTGCCTTGCAAATGGACGGTCTTCCTCTCGTGGTGGCCTCTATGACCGCACAGCACTCACCAGCACCGTCGGGACCCTCGGCGGACAGAGCTGACCTCCCGGTGCAAGAGGGTGACGGCTGTGAAGCGGATGGACTCCATTAGCGGCCCAATCGCTTTCTCTTTAACACACTTTAGAGTGACCTTCAGCCCTGCTCGGACCAAACCACGGTCAGGGGTCAGGGTTCAGACCGGGAGCACATTAGCATGCAGGTGGAGATTCCAAAAAGCATCGGTCGGAGTTAATGTTTGTGGGGATGTGTGAGCGCAATTCAAATCCTGAGGACACGACCTCGATGTCCAATTTGTGTGTGTTTGTCATTATCAGCATGCAAAGGTAATGACAGACGTCTTTGGAGTGACTTCATGAAGGGAAGGAAGCCCGGTGCGTCCATGTAGGATATGAAGATTTAATACAGTCTGAGATTTTGAGATATGCCTATATTCTCTTTTTTCCTCTTTTTTTTTTTTGCTAAAAACTCAATACCGCTTTCATGGCTACAAATATGCCAGTACAGTCAGCAGCCAGTTAGCTTAAAACAAAGACAAAGACAGAGGGAGACAGCTGGTCTGTCTCTGTCCAAAGGTGACAAAACTTACCACCACCTCTGAAAATTCACTGATTCACTTCCAACAACACTGAGTGGTTCCCTGATACGATGCATTTTACAAAAAGTGTGCGTTCTGTTGCAAAGGTAACGACAGACATCTTTGCCGGGAGTGACTTCATGAAGGGAAGGAAGCCCGGTGCGTCCATAAGATAAGATAAGATAAGATAAGATGTGCCTTTATTTATCTCACAGTGGAGAAATTCACATTGTTGATAGCAGCATTCAACAGAGGTACACATATACGAGACAGGAAAAAATAAAAAATAAAAAATGTACATATAAATATAAGAAATAGTGCAAACAAGGAGAGTAGTGAAAACAGAATATGAAAAATGGGCTTCTGAATGGGGGGTATATAGAAAAGATATATGTAGGATATGAAGAGTTCATGTGCGAAAACAATCGATCAAACTGAGGGGACAAAAATAGAGATAACTTAAATTTGATTGATATTGTCTCAGCTAGACGATGGAAAAGTGTGTTTTCTGAAGGTTTGTGAAGATCTGAATGAACTCTTCGTATTTTTTGTATTATTATGTGAATAAAACAAGCTGTTTCCATCGGTTTTTGTAGCACAAATACAAAAAGAATAGCAAATATTCAGACATATGGAGATGTTTGCACTTATCTTTTTGCAGTCTAACCCCCCGAGGTGTCATATTCCCCTCTGCACCTCACCTAAGAGCTCTAACGGTGTGGTAAGGGACATTTATTGATTAGTTTTATTGACGCACCAGTTGGAAATGCTCTCATGCAGCAGAACTAAGAAACGCATTCGAATCAGCCCTTAGAAGATGTTCTATTTAGAAGTTAAAGATTCTTGAGGAAGTTGGTTTTACCAAAATAAATGACCGAGTTAACCGACTGTGCCGCAACATAGCAAAACTAAAGAGTCACGAGAAAACAAAAGCAATTAAAAATTAAACAAAGGAGCTAAAACCAGGGCGTGAACCTCCAACCAAAAAGTACATCTGACTCATCTGATATTTTTGTTTTGGACGGCTTGTACCAGGGTGTACCGCGTGTTAGAATGTCAACACAGACAAGCATTCATGCTGTTGGCTCATCGCTGTCTGTCCGCCTGCCTATCTGGATCACATTAGTTTCCCTGAAAACAAAACGCTGTGTCTCGCACGGCTCTGGGAACCTGGTGTTCATTACTCAGCCTTTTCCAGCGATCCTCCATATATCAGTTTTCATTCCTTGTGTTAAGCCATCAGAGACGCTGCTCCGGTTATGTAATCAGGTTGTAATGATCTACCCGCATCAGAAGGACACGGCGTGTATCTTAAATGTTCTGTCCATGTGAGCTCCTCTGTCTTCCTGTACTCTGTTCTCTTTTTTTTTTTCTCTTTCTTTAGCTTCCACAGTCTCAAACCTTTGACCTACTTCTGGGCTGACTTCTAGGAAAATACAAAACTATTCATTTTCAGTCTGGTCTTGCATGCGGCATGTGCACATGTTGCTGCAGGGGAATGAAACCCTATACGCACCCCCCTCCTCAGCTGGGCCCATATACGCTCGGTCTATACTGTAAGCGCTGACCCTCCTCCACAGTGTGCTTCCTTCACTCCAGCACACAAATTACTCCCAACACCGACACCACACAGCGCGAGCTGATTCGTGCTTGTTTTCACTCATGTGCATTTCTGTGTAAACCTCTGACACCCTGACATAGTTGTCGTCTTTGGGAATCCCTCCAGATTTTACTGTAAAGCTTTGCATGCTATGGGCAGAACGCTTGGCTGGAAAACAGGAATTTTAAAAAGGGGGCCCCGACCGCTGTGCTCAACGGACTTTACAAGATTCAAAATCCTGTCATTCCTGACATTACACAGAAAACGCTTATACAGCCTGCTGCTCGTGACATGAATACCACAAAACATACAGAGCATGCAAGTTCTTCGAGTGAATTCATACATTGAATACGAAGCAAAAACACCCCAGATGTCTAGAAGCTATACTTGGCCTGTGCATTTAGCAGCTCTCTGAGGAAAAGTCAGCATTTCCACTATGCCAGAGTCAACATTCCTTGGCCACGTGATGCGGGAACATGAGGCAAGAGGGTCCATATGTATCACCACAAACATAATTATATAAGAGATGTCTAGGAGACTTGTGACAGCAGCCAAGGAGAAGCACCAGTTTCCTCATATGGAGTTTTATGTTTTTATTCAAACACGTTTAAAAATGAGTACAAAGATTTATACATCAAGAAATTCATTAACATGACTATAAAAGCACCATATGCTTCTGTTTGTATACAATGTGCAAAATCAGCACTGAAACTTTCAGTCATTTCAAAAAGTGAGGAGATCAAAAGTAGAAACACGACATTAAAAAAAAACATCCTTAAAGGGTACATTTACTGAAAACCAAATCAAGTATACGCCCTATCAACACCCTTCCATACGTGTCAGCCAGCATAAATATTTTCACGACACGGAGCGCTTTGTGCAGCCGTTCATATAGCTTCCAGCATTAGAGAGTTCTGATCTGCGGCTTTGATGCCTCCACCTTCATGGAAAATGTTCAACAGGGCCGCCTCGATCGAGAAGAGGTGCTCGTCCTCCACCTCGGGACAGTAGTGCCTCATGAAGTCCGCCAGGCGCACCAGGTATTCAATGTTGTGGCCCGTGTTGCCCCTGCAGGTGGCAATCTGGGCGGCGACGTCCTTGATGGAGGCCGGGCCGAGGTACATGGGGTTGTCGGAGGTAGCGATGTAGACGAGGGCCAGAAGCGGACCGTGGCTCCTCTCTTTGGGGATGAACTCCACCATCTTCGTCATGTAACCGCCCAACACAACCTCTCTCATGTTTAGGTACTGGAGGGACTCCTGAACCTGGGATTCGGACACTTCATAGGCAACTCCCCACGTGCAAGCCTGAAAACAAAAAGAGGCGGACGGGTCAAACAAACAGTAGTTTGTAAGTAAGCTGCAGCAATTATAGGGATGCACGATATATCTGCGACCACATCGGTATCGGCCGATATTAGTGTTTTTTTCTGATATATCGATATCGGTCTGATGAACAAATTTAGCCAATGATTGTCTGACATCAGCGCCTTCGTCTCTACATTTGATATTGCTGCTATTTCACAGATGATTTACTTTTGTTACATAATAAAGAAGACTACGTGGTCTAATCTGTTGGGCTTCTCCTGAACAGTTTCTCACGGGGCTTGCTTATGCTCATTTTTCAGTGTGAACAAAAATCAAATATCGACATCGGTTATCGGCGATATCAGAAATCTTAATATCGGTATCGGCCAGAAATTTTAATATCGTGCATCTCTAGCTAATACATGGCACATATCAAGGAGAGTGTATGTCTTAGCTCAACTAACAAACACAGAAGTAATGAATAAAAATGACAGTATGGTGATCTGAGATGGACCCTACTGAATCTTAGTTATGGTCCTTTTTTTTTGCTTGACAGCGATTTCAGAGAAAAACCCACAGCAGTCGAAGTACTAAATATGTTGAATAATATAAGAGAAAAAAAGTCTCCAGTGGAAAGGATGGCACCGTTACCCAGTTTCTGTGAACATAATTACAGTGCTGTGAAAGGTTATTGTGCAAGATCATAAAGTAGGTCATGATCAGATAAATACCAGATGTAAGAAAGCCCAATTAAACATCTGGGCTGTTTATTAAAGTTATAGTTTTATTCACTCACAATGGAAGAATTAAAAAAAAAAAAAAAGTGGTTTTATTAGTGCAAGTAGTTCCAAAACAAAGACACGCTTACCTCCTGATCTGCCACTAGTGTTGCCACTCTGCCCGGCTGGAGAAAGCAAAGAGACACAGAAGTTAGAACATCACACAACAACAACAACAACAACAACAACAAAATGTTTATGCTTCATCATAATGATAAAAAAAAGAAAATTATTAAATATGTTATTTATCATGAAGTTATCAGTAAATAAATATTACATCCAGTTGGACAGCAACATGACTGAACAGTAACTTGATGAACTCACCTTCTGCTTGTCCCCTCGATAAAAATCATCTCCCTGCCAGAAGCGCCTCTTGTATCCTCTGATGTGGCCGATTTTGCAGCTTTTGTAAGTAAAATCTGGTCTCCACACCAAAGATCCATATCCAAATATCCACATGCTGCTCTTTTCCTTCGTGATGTCCTGGGGTTTCATTGTTTTTGCTTGACTTTTTTTTATTTTTAAAGTAGACAAAGACGTTCAAGTTGCTGCTCCTGTCAACAAGTGTCCTTTACATCCAACAGTTCCATTTATACGCTGCAGGAGGCACAAACCTTCATCCACGTCATGATTACTGTGTTGTAAAAAAAAAAAAGCGTCAGATATTACTCATAGCATCAGAATAATGCAAATACTGTCCGTTTCTGTGCTTGTCTCCCGATGTACTAACACGTGCGTTTGTTTTTCAGGGGGGGAGTCGGAGCGACAAGCTCTCGGCCAATGAGATCGCAGAGGAGGCGGGCTGAGGTGGCGGATCAACCAATCAGAATCCTCCCAGCAATGACACCTCACACCGGCCTTAGGAGTCACAGGGGCTTAAAAAAAACACACACACGAGCTGCTGCTACAAGAAATGTAAAGGAATCAGGAAGGTCAGAGTGAATTGGAAACTAAAAGCATTCAAGTCCATGTCACTCCCAGAAATGACATCTCACGTCTGTTTTATGGGTCACAAGGGCTTTAAAAAAAACAAACACATGAGCTGCTGTTACAAGAAATTTAAAGGAATCTGGAAGGTCAGAGTGAAGTGGAAACTAAAAGCATTCAAGTCCATGTCACTCCCAGAAATGACACCTCACACCGGCCTTAGGAATCACAGGGGCTTAAAAAAAACACACATGAGCTGCTGTTACAAGAAATTTAAAGGAATCAGGAAGGTCCGAGTGAATTGGAAAGTAAAAGCAGGGAAGTGGTTTAGTTTGCTTGTTCATTTTAAACACTTTTAACTGCAAAATCTATTTCTTTCATTTTCTCCCCCCTCATATATATTCCCTTTAAACGTGATAAAGGCCTGTATTTAATTAAAATAAATGTATTTCCTTTCATTAGATAGCCACAGTGATGGTACACAGGTAATAGAGGTGTGACGGGCAACAAATCCGTGTGGCATGAGACACACCGTGTGACAGCATCCTCGTGATAGACACTCAGCGATTATATAAATATTTTATTTTATTTTCACATCATCATCATCATCATCATCATCATCATCATCATCATCATATGCACCTATTGCTACCATTTCTTTAATTTTTTTGCACCTATTGCAGCCTGTCCTGCAGCACCGCAGAGCGAGTGAGAGTCCAGCAGGTAATCACATTACCTATAAATAGCTGGACTGTTATATCAGTGCTCTCTTAAGCTCATTAGGTGTCTGCGTCCTCCATCATTGTGTCCTGCACGAAGGCCGACGGCTGCATGACTGACGTTTGTCCCCTGCCCGTCGCTCCCTCTGCATGTTCCACCAGCTCAGAGGTGAGAGCAGAGAGAACTTCTTGCCTGCAACTTTGCACAAAACCTGCTGCCCCCAAGTGGTTAAGACAGCCATAGCTCTTGTCTTGAGACTTCAGCTGCAACCTGATGCTTTGACTGACGGCGTTTTGGTGGATAGTTGTGCAGCTTGCAGGTTTGTTGTGGTTCATGTGAGCTTGCTTGGTGTTGACCGGGGCTGTGGGGCCCCTTGTTTGCTGTGCTCACATTCCAGCAGCAGAAGGCCACATGCAGACGTTCTCAGCTTCCACACAGTAAAAACACCAGTTTACATGCAGTAACACCCAAAGAGTTCATTTCAACACTGAGTCAGTGAACATATGGTCCCGACTGGAAAAGTGTTACGCTGATGATAGTGTTGAATTTTTTTTAATTTAATTTAACTCTGATAAGAATTCATATTTTACACTACACTGAGTCAGGCTGCAAGGTGCAAGCTAGCTCAGGGGTTAGTACCACTGCCTTGCAGCAAGAAGGTCGCTGTGTCGCGTCCCGGTGAGGACACCCGGGATCTTTCTGTGTGGAGTCTCCATGTTCTCCCCGTGCAACGTGGGTTCTCTCCGGGTTCTCCAGCTTCCTTCCACACAGTCCAAAAACATGTTGAGGTTAATTGGTGATTCTAAATTGTCTGTAGGTGTGAATGTGAGTGTGCTTGGTTGTCTGTCTCTAAGTGTAGCCCTGTGATAGACTGGTTACCTGTCCAGGTGAACCTGCCTTCACCTTAAGTCAGCTGGGATAGACTCCAGCCCCCCAGGACCCTAGTGAGGATTAAGCGGTGTATAGATAATGGATGGATGGACGACACTGAGTCGTGTTAATTAAATTTTACACTATGAGAACAATAACACTCTTGGTGTTATTTACAGTTGACACTAAGGATGTTTCAGTAGATAAGGTTGAGTGATGCTGCTGATGGCATCAACATGTTCCTGGATGCTTGTTCCCCTCTGGAGATGAAAGACATACATAAACATACAGTCGTCCTCAAATGTATTCATACCCTCCAGTTAAAGAAGGAAAAAACAGCTGATTAAGCATAGATAGATAATAGAGGACAGAAGATGATAATTTGTGTAGCGCCTAATGCAATTTTTTGTTTATTCAGTCATCAGGCATTTGACGTCATTGAAACGTGGAAATTCAGTCCAGACTTCAGAGGATTTGTCCAGGACCGTATTGTGACGAAATTCAAATGTCGTCCTCACGTTCAGCTTGATAGTCTCATCATCGGTGGAACATCTAACGAAGGTTATGGCCTCCTCGCATTGGTCCTCACTCAGAGTCATCTCAGGACAAAATGGGGATGTGGCTCAAGTGATAGAGTGAGTCGGTCGGTGATCGGAAGGTCAGCAGTTCGATTCCGCCCTGTAACCTGTTTCATGGTCGTTGTGTCCTTAGGCAAGACACTTCACCCACCTTGTGTGAATGCGTATGAATGGTGTGTTTGAGGTGGTGGTCGGAGGGGCAGAATGGCAGCCACGCCTCTGTCAGTCTGCCCCAGGGCAGCTGTGGCTACAATCGTAGCTACCACCACCAGAATGAATGTGTGTGAATGAATAATTGACAGTGTAAAGCGTCTTTGAGTGTCCAGAAAAGCGCTGTATAAATCTGATCAATTATTATTATTATTAATAACAAATGATGCACCTCTTCATCGCCATCGTAGCCTTCGTCAGTCTAACAACAAGCACACTTTAAAAAGCTATCACATCTGTTTTTAGATCCATCATCATCGTCTCCATCCATCGAGGAGACGATAAAACTGCAGAGACGGTTCAAGTCTGTTAGAGATGGAAATGGGCTCATTTTAAAATGTTCCTGTCACTGTTGTTGTGATAACTCTGGTAGAGCCCATACACCCTGACGCTGCATATTTTACTCCAGGTCTTTTCACTCTCAGTAGTTTCACCAACACTGGGCGGCCACATCCTACTCTATCTGTTGTTGTAATATCGATATGTTTGCATACTTTGACACTACATATTTTACTCGTGTGAATTAGTTTTGTTGTGGCACAGAGATCTGTAACAGCAGCAGAGAAGCAGTTAGGTAGAAAGACCACAAGGACTCTTTATTATCACATACAGATGTTTTAAATATATATATTTTTGTTGTTTGAGTATTCCCTTACATCGCTGCCGATTACAACGCTGTCCACTGAATGATTGCTAGCACATGGATTTTCACATCACACTGAGACACAGATGTCGAGGACACAGACATGGAATCATCAGAAACGCTACCGGGCCAGATATTACTGTATCTACAGACAACGAAGCCACTTTCACGCCAGCTGACACAAATAAAAAGTTTCTAGGTGTTTAATTTAACGATCTCTATTCGACCACATGTACACTCAACCATCGAAGACTGACAAACAAACAGTGTACCAGATATGTATTTCTTGCTTCTTCTTTTTTTTTTTTTTATAACAAAAAATAATAATAATAAAACACAACAAAAACTTTAAAAATAAATTCACCTTTTTGGGGCATCAACTTAAAAACAGATGTACTTCTAATCTCAACATATAAATATACAGTATATACAAAATAATCTTATAAAACATAGAAAGAGAAAGATCAGTGCTTCATATACTTAAATTACTAATGAAATACTAATCTTACAAAACAACATTATTGGTTCAGTAATTTCCATTGAAGGCGTCCTTGGTACGATAGTCACTTCATGTATTTCTTTGTCTTTATTTAAGGGTGATCTTGCATAAAGTAAAACAAGGCCTTATCATGAGTTTCCCTGCATGGCGCGTTAGCATATTGCATTTTTTTGATCTTTCATTGTTACCTCCACGTTGCTGTGCAAAGGAATCAAGGTAAGGCAGGGCACAACGTTTCTCTTAAATACATATATAAGGCTTTGTGATCTAGGCTGCATACATTCTTTATAAAAACGGATTCAATTTACAAAACCCTAAATATCCCCTCAAAAATGAACCGTTTTCAGTAGTTTTTTTTTGAGTCCCCTTTTTTCTTTTGATTTAGCGCAATGCTGATTTTTGTTTGCATAGCGCATTGCAAGGTTGCACGGAATGGGAAAAGGCCTTCCACCATCTCGTCGGCAGTAAGTTGATTCATTTGATTGCTGATTACCGCGGCGACGTGGAGGGGAGCACGTGAAGACAGTCCTCTTCTTCTGAGGCGCGAACGTCTCGGCCCCGTTGCCCTCGGATGAACTGGGACGGAGCAGACGAAGGGTTCGAGTCGGAAAAACGTGGAAGGCGCGTGGCGTCCTCGAGCGTCCATCGTTTCCCCGCTCGTCTTTTCTTCCTCAAGTCTTTACATTCTCACATAGATTAGTAGCTTCAGTTCTATTGCATTCGGAGAGCACGCGAGCTCCATCCAGTTATCAAGTTTTCAAGAGCAGCAACTTGCATTTAAATAAATCCCAGTCTCTCCACACTTGTAAACAGTCCACAAGAAATCCAATGTTGATAACGAATGATGTCTTCCATTTATTATACCTGGAAAAAAGATGAAAGGAAACTCAGAAATAATGACAAACAACGTCTGGTTTTTATTCCCAGACCAGCTTTACATGAAAACAGGTTTAAAAGCTTACCTCCGTTGCGATGATGCATTCGTTTTTCTCTTCTGCTATTACAAAGACAGACTGGTACATCGAATCTCTGGAAGAACATATGGTAGATATTCTACACTCTGGCCTTTCACTGTGAAGTAAACATAGATATCGTCAGTTACTGAGCACAACAGGAACATCTTGTGTTAATGACAGGAAGTGATAATCTAATCTGTCTGGTACTGACGTCCGTACACTCACCTGTACATTCTACTCAAATGCCTTTTATCTTCTATTATCTTTTCACAGTTTTCATCTTTGTCCAGGAGGGACAGTTCGTCCTTGTACCCCGCAGAGGTTTTATAGTCCAGCTGGTAGTGGTTGATGTATTTGTGGTTAGACTTTTCCCTGGGACAGTCCACCTCCAAATCCACCTTTTTATTAGTGTTCTTGAGCTCTACGGTAGAGATGAGGTTCTCTTTCTGAAAGTCAACCTTAGAGAGGTTGTTCATGGTCTCTGAGTCCTGCTCCTCACTCCTCTGCTTCTTGATGTGGCGTATCACCACCACCGCCATGCAGAAGAGCACCAGAGCAGCCACCAGGCCTACGCCCAAGCAGATGGCTGCTAGGTTCAGCTTGTCGCTGGCTATGCTGGGGCTGGGGGTGTTGGATAAAGTTTCATTGTTGAACTGGCACTGGGGGCCGCTGTAATGAGCGGGGCAGATGCAGGTAGGCTGGCCTTTGGCTCCGATGGTGCAGGTCCCGCCGTTGAGGCAGGGAGGCTGAGAGGCACAGCGGTCTGTGGGCTTGTCACAGTGGCGGCCGGTGTACCCTGGGGGGCAGGTGCAGGTGTAGTCGTTAATGCGGTCGATGCAGGTGGAGCCGTTTGCACACGGGTTCCTCGCACACTCGTTGATGTTGATCTCACAGCGCGGCCCTGTGAAGCCTGAGCGACAGCTGCAGAGTCTGAGGTTACCGTGGACCACACAGTGTCCACCTGTGCAAAACACATCAGCGATTCAGATTAGTTTAGATGCAGACACACACACAGGAAGTGTAGAATTGTTTTTGATGCAGCGAGACCGATGTATTACCGTTGGTGCACTGCAGCGAGGTACATTTGTCCACTTTCCTCTCACAGTTGAGTCCAGTGTATCCTGCTGGACACTCGCATATGTAACTCTGCCCGTTGTCCCGCTCTCTGCACTGGCCGCCGTGAAAGCACGGCGTGTCCGCACAAGTCAGCATCCTGTGCTCGCATTGTGGCCCTTCAAAGCCCTGTGGGCACACACACCTATAGCCGTTCTCAGAGTCCTGCAGGGGAAAAGATATAAAGTTTATCAACAAGCTGTGTGTCAGATGGTTTTTATCGTATCCTGTTCACGACTGCCCCAACGAACCCCATTATCCTCGGTCTGAATTCTATTTACAGTACTGGCTCTGTGAACTGGGTCATCCACTGACTTGACAATCGATAGCATCCTCCTGGACTAGCAGATAGACGGAGGCAAAAACAAAAACAGGAAAGCCTGTGTTGTGGGAAAGGAGAGAGAGAGACTTCCGGACTCACCAGGCAGCGGCCTCCGTTGTGGCAGGGCTGGTTGTCACACTCCCTGACCTCCGAGTCACAGTTAACCCCGGTGAAGCCTGGCAGGCAGGTGCAGGTGTAGCTGCCCTGGCCCGTGTTCATGCACGTGGCCCCGTTGGCACAGGGCTTGTGATGGGTGCAGTAGTTCAGATCTGTAGACAAAAAGGGTGGAAATCTTAGTAGAGGAACCACAAAAGAGGCATATTTAAAGCACCCAACACTTCATCTAGTTTCCTTATTTTGCATTATTCTTTGAGAGAAAGAGGTAGCCGCACACCTTGGTCACAGAAGATGCCTCCCCAGCCTTCCTTGCAGGTGCACTGCCACGGCTCTGTACAGGTACCATGTTTACAGGACGGATGGAGTTTACACACATCACAAAAGAGTCCCTGCCAGCCTTCTCTGCATCTGTTCACACATAAAACATGACCGTTGGCTCACACACAAATTCACACTCGTGCTCTGTACTGTCACAAACAACCATCATGGGTCTAATAACAGAGAGAAAACATCATCTGCTACGACATGACCTCGTTTAAAGAGGACAGTAGGGGTCGACCGATGTGTTGTTTTTAAGAATCAATACTAAAAAAAATGTGATTAGAATTTATTTATATTTCACGTATTAAAGAAACCTTTTCAACTTCAATCCTTCAGTGTTGATCGGTTGTTATTTGTGATAATCAGACGGTGCTGTGGGTGGGATATAAGACCACACAGTGACTGCACACAGAGATGCAGCTACACAAGAGCCAAAGCAGTGATTCACAAAACTGGATTCACTTGCTTTCATTGGGAATCGATACCAATAACTGAAGAAAATCGTCAATATCAGATCAGATAATCGGCCGGGGCAATAATCAATCAATCAACCCCTAATGTAAAGACAAGTTCTCGCTGAACTATCATCTGTAAATCTCTGTAAATATTGATCTTTGGCAGATTGTGCATCCCCACATGCCAATAAACTATAACTGGATGATTCCACACAGACTCATTAGTAAACACTCACTTGCACTCTCCAGGTAATGTGCAGTTTCCGTTCCTCTCATTGCACCCTTTCAGACAGATCGCTGCAAAGCAAAAACAGACATACTCAAACTTTGGCATTCATACACGTTAAACATTTGTGATCATTTCAAGGTATTTTGTCTTCAAACAACGATCTGAATTACAGCAGACGTTTATCCAACATCATTAAATCTGAGTTGATTTTTAAAGAAACAGAATGCCAGCAGGTTTCCCAGCACACATTGTTTGAGAGTTAAACCTCCCCCGAGACTCATTCATTCCCTCTCACAATGAAAACCTCCGTGTCATTTAAGGTGCGCTGAACCCCGATTGTTTCTTCACATAAAAACGAAAACCATGAAGAAGGTTAGTTTCACATTCAGGCTCTAACTTTGTTTAAATATTTTAAAGTATTTTGAAGCACATGCTGTTTAATGCATGAAAGGGTTTTTATGATGACATTAAAAAGCGACTCTTTAAATTGAGAAAATGTGAAAGTAAAGCAAGTCTGAGAGAATCCACGGTTGATGAACCCTCCTGTTGTCTTTGGGGTTAATTTGACTCCGTTCAATGTTAAAGGTCTCTAAAGAAGTTTTATTTAAAGGGCTATTTACACACATATTTGGGTAATAGCTTTAATTATGATAATTTTCTGGAGGTTTAAATTGCTGGAGGGGTAATAGGAGGATTAAATATATTACCAAAAGTTAAATGAACTCTCTCAGGTAATTCAGCTTAATTTAGATTTCATGATTCATGAGATAAACTAAGTTCCCTTAACTCAGATTGTCATGGCAGCAGTCAAACTTGTGTTTCTAAGTTGCACAATTTAGTGTTAAAAATCTGTTAATGAGGCTTTAATTCCCTTTAAATGATGCTCTCCCCACAATAAACCCTGATGTCTAACCGTTGCAATGAAAAAAAAAGAAAAAAATCCATTTGCTTTTTTTGCCTGAATTGTGTTCCGTGAATGTGACATCGATTCTGCACGAACTGGGTTGGAGCTGAGCAGATGCTAAGAAAAAAAAAAAAAAAAAAAAAAAGCAGGACAGCTGCCCCTATTGTTTGCCGGTGGCCGGTTCGAGCCCCGTTTGCAGCTGCTGCCCCGCGCCGCCGCCGCCGCCAACAATAGGAGCCGCAATTTAGCGGCGCGTGGCGGGCGATAATGCCGCGATTAACCCCGGCGCGTGCTGCTCGGCGACCACCGCCCCGGATTAAAAAAAAAGCGCACGCGCTCACCGAGTTTTAAAAAAAAAGTAAAAGCCCGGCTGTCTGTCTGTCTGTCTGTCTGTCTGTGTGTCGTCACCGCCAAATTCAGCTGCGTCACATCCCAAAACACACACCTGTGGTCACGGAACAGGTGATTTAAGTCATTAAAGATTAAAAATAAGTTGTAGAAATAAATATTCTTTACATTTAGGCTACAATAAATGGCACTTTGTAGCGTGAAGGCCTCTGGAGCAGCTGGAAGAATGGCGTCTACAGGAAAAGGTAGGCAACACAAGGCCTGTTCAGAATAGCACATTGCTGTTTAACTCCCTCTAGAAGCACTGTGTGTGTGTGTGTGTGTGTGTGTGTGTGTGTGAAGTTTGGCCTTTCTTTTCTTTTTTTTTACATCACAAACAAACAAAAGTGTCCACATGGTGTCTTTACTCGTGCTTACGTTCTTGGCAGTATTCTCCCTTCCATCCCGGCAGACAGGCTATTTGCCCGTCAGGCTTGCAGGTGTAGTGGCCAAAATGGTCGTCTCTGGGCGCGCATATTTTGGAACAAGTGTCCCCGTAGTAATTTTCATTGCAGATGAACCGGTATGAGTACCTTAGCTCCGTCTGCGTCCCGCCCTGCACATCCTGGGACCACTCGGGCCCAATTCCCAACTGTCTTTGGATGGCAAAAGAGCTAATCAAGAATTCGGGGCTGGTGGCATCTGTGGGGGAAGAACATGAGAGTGAATAAATCTAGCAGTTATTATTCTGAGACAATACACAATCTGATATTTCCTCCTTCCTTCACATGTGTGACCATTATTTCACTTTGTTGTGAAGGACTTAACAAAAAAGGTGTAAAATCCAGGAAAAGGCTGTCATGGTATTTTTCTTTTCTTTTTTTTTTTTTTTTTTGGCAAGGCTTCATATTCTCACTTGAGCCATGTACACTTTCCCATGCATGCCAAAAATAAAACAAGGGAAGTGCAATTGTGTTGGAGAGATTTGATTGTAAAAAAGATTGTCGTGTGACTCATAAGGCATCCGAAACAAACACGAATCCGTGACGCTGGGAATAGCAGATGCATTTGCCAGCACTTGGTTGGTTCATGGAGGTTTACTGATTACAGCGTGTGATTGGTAATAAGTCAGGAGGGAGGCGACATTGGGCCGTATGTCTCCCTCCAGTGGCGCAGACAGAGTTTGCATCTCCCCTCACCTCCAAGCTGCTCCGCTGCAGGAGAATACCAGGCTTCGATCACTAATGAGAACGCACCCTGTGGGGGACAAATTGGGAGATACGCGTCACCAAAATGTACTGAAATTGTATGAAAGGCACATTTAGTTAGTTTCTGGCTTTCTTTGATTAACTTAAGTAGTGATGGAGGGCACTTAGAAAGACTTTCAACATTTTAAAACCACTTAATTTTCTAGAAATAATCCAAAACACAGACTGGATGCTGGCTTTTGCGCACGATTTTCTGACTTTACGCACAGAGTTGGCGACACAAAAATGCAATAGACATCTTAAAGTTACTGTTTTACTATGTTTGGCTTTAATGTCACCATAAAAAAATAAATAACAGTCACGTTAAATATATATGGCATCAATATTTATACGTGCAAGTGCCAATTTTGCATTACTTTGTTGCAGACGATCCGAAATATGTTTTCAAAAGTTATATATTTTATCAGAGTTTTCCACATTTTTTACTATTTACTAAAAAACTATGTGGCATAATATTAAATCTGATGCACATAAAGTTGGTTTCAGCGTAAAAGTGTGAGAAGCCAGCAGGTCAGCTGCTCTTACCGGCCAGGTGAAGTTGAGCGGCAGACGCAGCCTGGCGTCCTGCTGGATGCTGAAGGAGTCGGTGCCCAGAACAGGTGTGGCTGCTCTGCCAAATATACACTTTCCAGGGGACACCTCCGTCTGGAAGTTCTTCAAACAAACCTTGAAATAAGTCCTGCAGCCAGCCATGCTGCAACTGAGTCCATTTGCCAGCAAACCTTTAGTATTCTGAAAATGATGGAGATCGATCTCGAACACACCTGATCCCAAAACCTAGAAGGACATAAACAGTGAGCACAGCAGGAAACACGCAATATTTGTTTTTAAGATTAATTCTGTCCTATTGCAAAGATTTTTTTTTAAAAATATGTACCTGAGTAAATAATGTTATAACTATTGCAAGGATAGAGGTGAACCAAACGGCCATCCTTTAGAGTTTTATGTGCGTATCCTTAAAAAATCAGTTTGTCCTCCCGCAAAACGCTCCTATTCCAAACGGAGTGACGATGAATAAAGTGGTCAGAATAAATATAATCCTTCTTCCAAAGCCTGTAAGGACGAGATCCAGCTCCACAATCCGTATCCAGAAGATGAAGTTTGGGAAAGACCGAGTTATCCAGTGCTAGAGGTTGTTAGACTAATATCAGTAACGTCAATATCCACAAGTGAGTCATTCTGCGGTCTTTATGTTGCCCATCCATCGTGCCGGTCAGATGTGGTTTGAGTTTGCTGAGCTGATGCGAGGCTTGTGTTGCCAACAGTGATGCGAGCATGTGGCGGAGCATCAGCGCATAGTGACTCCCAGTGAAGGATGTCTGACGTCCCTCCCAGTTTATATACCACGGTGTAGTGTCATTACAGACAATGTCAGCCAGTAAACACCGCCCACTCTCCCCTCCACCTTCTTCTTTTTTTTTTGCTTGGAGTGTCATTATGAATTTGAAGGGGATCGTTTTTTTGAGATCCGGAAATGCTTTTTACGCAGATTGTTCGTGTCTCAAACAGAATAAACAGACGCAAGATTATATTATAGTAGGTTAATATTATATGCAAGAAAACACAACAAGTATAGAAACTGAGTAGATTAATTGGTGATCATGAGAAACACTATAAATCTCACGAAATTATAGTAGTTTTCTTCTTCTTTTTTTTTTTGCCTCTCAGACATCTGACCTCCCAGTCTTCTATTTTTCCCTCCTTGTGTTTATTTTAGGAGATGAAGTGGGAGATAGCTTCATGCATGATAATGGATTCACATTGTAAACACCTCGTGTCACTCATAAATCACCCTGTTTTATTTAATTTTTTTAAAAGGAGGGGGGTTGTAACAAAATAAAAGTCCATCCAAGACTTACTGTAAAGCTTTGATTGAATATAAATGTAATTGTGTTTCTTGGAAAACCTTTACAGATCAGCTCCACGCTTCCCAAAGAGGCTTTTTTATGATTTCTATAATTGGATTGTTATCATTTGAACAGTTTACACGAGGACAGAAATGCACACGTGTGCACGCTGTGACGCACATAAAGACAGGAAAAGAGAGCATATATGTGACTGTTATAGTTGTTTATTGTGTTTAATGAAAAGTCCACAACAAGCATCAACATGTCCAGGCGCTTTATTTTACCCCACAGGTCACAATGCCAGCAATTGAAAATACATTTGTATGCTTAAAAGCAGAGATTGTATCCCCCATGTGTTTGTTGAACTAACATCCACTATAACCGGTTGAGAAAACACACTCCTCCTTTCAAGTGTTTGCAGAATTGTTCCAGGAGGGGAAAAGAAAAATGAACTCCAAAGAGTATATGAAGCTTGCTGGGTAAATAAATTGAAATGCCATATGCATTTTTATCACATGAAAACTCATGCTGGGCACAGGCATTGTTACCTTTATCACCCCTGCAGCAGGCCAACTTGTCGGGGAGGATTTACAGTGAAGGGAACAGGATTTAAGAACTGTTCCCTCGCCATGAAGGTGCGTGGCTGAGCAGCGCTCCTGCCGAGATGACTTCACGTCTAACCCCCCACCTTTGACTTATAGGTTTGAGGTTCCACCGCGGGGCAGAGACAATGGACCATTGAGTGTGGAGCAGTGTGAGTAAGAGGCCCGGACATCTCATACCTCTGCTGCATTGAAGTATTTGGCGTTCCCACCATTGACTGAATCACACAGATCCTGTGGTGGATCAATGCAGCCTTGTGCAGCAGATTTAACCACGGATGTCTGTTCTGTTTTATGTTTGAAAACGCTCTAGATCCACTTATCTTTGGGCCATCTCGCTAGTTTACGAGTGGCTGCCACGGACTCCAGAGGCTCATTAATCTCTTTGTGTAGGAAGAAGGGTGTAGTGTAATGGCGCTGCTGTCTTCCCTTCATACACGTCAAAACATCCATACACTTTAATATTTGATGGACTGTGGTTAAGGTTTCTCTGTAGCTCGGGTTTCAATTCCTTGTTAAGGAATTGGACTGTGCTAAACAAGCAGCGACGCTTGGACCGGAACTTCTCGAAAAACATCAGATCTGGAGGAGCGTCTTTCTGGGGATGCACTTATCAAGCTTTCTTAATGTTTTTATAATAATCTCCAGCGATTTTTATGAGTGTTTTTATATTATTATTATTATGGAAATAGGCAGAAATCCTGGCCTGAGTTAGTGGGGCATTTCAGTTCTTCGCTGTATGAGTTATTTACTCTGGTCCAATGCAAACAATATTAAAACGAGCTCTTTTCTGCTGCGTTGCTCTAGAATAAACACAGCCTTGGAAACAGACATCAGCCCCGCCGCGCTTCCATCTGCAGCCTTGTATAGGACATCATTTTTCTCTTATGACAGTGTTTTGTAAAGCCGAATTCTGATTGTTCTATGTCTTCTCAGCTGGCATCCGAACCCTAAAAATAACATTTTGATTGGGAAACGAAGAGCAGCGAAAAGTGACTTATTAGGAAAGTTGCTATTTATGAGAAATCGTCCGAAGCAGCTGTTTGGTTCTTTGGCAGGCCGATTGTTTGCTCCCAGGAATGCTCGCTCGTAAGTTATGGATTTTAAGAAGATGTTTGAAATCTCATCAATCAAAATAATAATCCAATCGGGCATGTGCTATTTTAAATGTTAGCAAATGACTCAGAACGCACTTGACGGCGGCCACACCAACACGCTGTTGATACTTATTATTTCCAAAACACGAGAACATTATCGCGTCCCTCATAAACACAGCGGGGATCAAAGACCTTCTTTAATTAAGTTGCCCTCTGGTAAATGGCAATATGTATTTACAGGTAATTTGCACTGGAGTGTAAGTAAACAGTCAATGAAAAGTCACCTGACGACGACAGACTGACACGAGAAAACATCACCTGCTGTTTGGTTATGAGTTTAAGATTTTATCATCTGTCTTTCCAGCATTAAGACCGATCTCCCTACTTTGTCGTCTTCATCTAAGCCCCAGCGTCACTGAAGATGTGGGCCTTCTCTGGTCAGTCCTCCCAATAGAATCAACAATCTGGGCAAGTGCAATGGGAAATTAGCTACAGTGCTAACAGATGGCCCCCTTTTAGTTCAGAAATCTGCCCTGTTTAATGCGCAGCAGTTTAACACTTCTTTACAGCGCATTTGATCTCTATGCCCCAATCTGTTCGGCCAATCAATGGGGCTTTTGATGTACGCTGCCAATGGATCTGAGGCATCTAAGCATGTCGCCCTGGGAGGAGAAATCACCTGCTGTTGCAATTAGAAAGACAAGGGGTGGTTTCATTCTCTCACAGCACCGCGCTGTCTGCCTACAGATATAGAAAATACTCTTAAACAGTTGAAGAGACGTATTTGTTTGAAGCGAGATGGCTGGACTATTAGTGTGTGTGGGGGAGGTGGAGGGCATTTTCAGAAAGATTTCACATGCTTAAGCCAAGGATTACAAGGTGGAATTCCCTCTGAGGAGGAGAAAACATGATTGTGCTTGTCCACAGTTAGCTGCTTTGATTAAAAGCACAACTTCAGATTAAATTAACATCATTTAATGCGTCACTTTTTATACCTTAAAGTGATCGGCTTCTGCATGTGTCTGTTTTCACCCAAGTCGAGCCTCCGAAGCCCCTGACATTGTGTTTAATAAGCGGCCCCGGGCTGTTGTGGAACTTTCCAGCTACCCTCTTTCTGCGCTATTGACAAAACAAAGCCACGTCAGCACGCCTTCACCCTCACGATGCAACCAACAACACGCTTTGGTCACTGACACCATTTCGTGATGCGTGCAGGTGTCACCGCACGTAAAGATGTCGGCTTGGCGGCGGCACCATGACATCATTTATGCTCGCGGTGTAATTTACGGCTCAGCAGCACACCTTGCTTCTGCTCAGGTTGAAGTGCATAAATCAGATCTGGGTGACCGTGTGTGTGTGTCAGTATGCCGGGAGACGGCCCAGCAGCGCATACCTCCCTCCCACCAGGAAGGCTCTGCGATTATACCAAACGCCCCCTCAATGCTCGGTATTGATCCGAGCGAACAGAACAGCTCCACCTTTGACTCGTCAGCAAGGACGTTGGACATCACCACATCTGTCACTTTAACAGAACAATGTCATATCCTGCTACGTTTCAGCAGATGCATTTCCCTTTATAGTCTCTTTTGGTCATTGTCCTCCAGTTGCGGCTGTTTGCGTCGCTCTTGAACAGAAAATAAATACGTGAAGGACACTCCCAGGCACAGCACATGAAAGCCAAACATGTTTTTGTGTCCAAGTAGTTCTTGAGTGATTACAAGTGCAAGGCTAATTATGTGTGTGTGTGTGTGTGTGGAAGAAGCTACTGTAGCCTTGAGGAAATCCTCCCCTGCCAGAGTCAAAGCATCATTGCTTTACGCAAGACAAAACTGCACAGCAGGAAGAGGAAAGAGATAAATGGAGGTGAGGGAAGAGCGTGCTGGTGTGAAGAGGGCTGTTAAAGCCACACCAGTTAGACAATCAGGAAGAGCGGCCTGGGACTATGAACCGCTCGGCTGCAATTCACACGCTAATCTACCTGTTAGCAGGAGGTGTGAACAGGTGCATTTACGGGGGTCTCTGTGTGTGTGTGTGTGTGTTTAAGTGGTTTTGACAGCACAGATGCACCACGGGGGTTTTAAATGACGCCCATTAGGGCTTTTTTTTTACTGAAGTTGCTTTGAGAATCGGGACATTTCCATCAAAGTAATAGCCAATATTAATCTTCAAAGTTGAAAGGGTTTTGGCCTCAGTGTCACCGCAATCACTGAACACCATCAGCGTGATTAGCGTCTAGTAATTTCACCTTGGCATGCTACGCCGTTAGATGAAGTGATGTGGTGTGATAAGGGCCTGTGGTTCTGGTTTAATTATCCAGAGACTTAATGATCTCTTATCTGCTGTTCTTCCTCCACTTCCTGAGCGGGGGCACATGACCTCTGCAGTGCACCACTCTGTATTATTGTTTACACAAACACAGACTTAGAAATGTTTTAGGAGGGTCTGATGTTTTTTCCTTCTACAATTTTAAAATTCCTAGCTGTCCTCTTCCCTTTTTGCACAACTCACTTCCCACCTTTGCTTCCGATTCCATGAACAGGGATTCTTGGGAATTAGCTCTGCTGGCATTGTGTGTGGGAGTGTTGTGCTGAAGGGTAATACATGGGGACGTGTGTCCTATTAGGTGAAAGGCTCAGGGAGTGGCAGGAGGTCCGTTCATCTTTACCTGTGCGAGGTCTTTGTAACTCGTCCTGTCCGACCAAAAGTCATCAGCAGCCGTCGGAATGAAACGTGACCTTTTGTTTGGATTCCATTTAGTT